GTTATTTCTTAATCATGACAAGGAGCACACGGCGGGTGTGACCGGCGGCAGGGATGCTCACTCCTTCATGGTACCTGATCCCACCTCTGATGTCGAAGAGGTCCGTGTTTGCTCTGCTCCTATTTTGTAATGTTTAATGGACTTCTGAGCTCGAATACTGTTCGTTATCTCCACATATTCTTTGCAACAAATCAGACAATCATATTTACGATACAGAAAATCAGAATCAAATAGTCATAGTGTAGAAGTTGAGGGAAATCTAAATGCAAAGCAAACTATTGTTAACGTGTCATGTTTTCTTCAAACCACAATATTTATCTTGGAATAAGTTGGTTAAATTCCAGAAAATAATATATTTACGATAGATTACGAGGGTCCTTCAATAAATAATGCAACAAACAGTATATCATAGTAAATGTAGATCTATATAATTTTATTTTTTCATAGTTGAAACGTTAAATTAACACATCACAGAAAACCCCATAATTTTTCCAGAGAAATTCACTTTTAAAGTATGCACGGTCACTACACTGATCTGAAAACTGTTTAAAATGATCTCTGCCAAGAAGTTGAAAATGAGAGCGTATGTGAAAACTGTGCTTCTTTACATAAATCGTCGAAGAACTCTTTAACGTTGTATAGTTTTCAGATTGATTCAGAAATTGAAAAGTAAAAAAGGAGAGAGTTAAAATATAAAAGTCAAACTGGTCGATTAAAATTTGTAGGGACACCATAAATTATCGATTGAATGTGCAACATGATCTCTGAAAATGTCAGATTTATATACAAGGACATTGCTAGAACACTAAACATTTCATCGTAATAACATTTTATAGAATTCTGACAACGGAAATGAATATGATAACATTTCTATCAGATATGTGCCTTATTTTCTTAAAATTACCTAAGAGAAAAATACGCATTAAATGTGCCAACGGTCTACTTTAAAAAATATTTTAACAAAATAGAAGATTTGTTGAATTTGCGTGATGGATGACGAAGCATGGGTGCACTTTTTATAGCCAAAGATGAAGAGCAATATAAAATGTGGAATCAAAGAAAAAACTGTCATTCTTATCATTGTAAAGAGAAACAAGGGCTCCAAGCATGTTTTATTAGTTGTCGTTATTTTCAAGAGGTCCAGTTAAACATGTAGATACACCCAATGGAAGGACCATCAATGGTAACTTATATGTTCAAATTGCACTAAGGAAAGATAAACAGATTTCCTGCAAAGGAAGTCCAAATACCACCCCAAGGGTAATTTTTTTGCACCCAGCAACGCTGCTGCAACTAAGCACTCAGAAATAAAAGACATTCTGAAGAAAAGAAAGTTTACAGAGGTTTGCCATCCCCCATATTCGCTAGATATCAGCCATTGTGAGATCTTTGTATTCTAAAAATGCATGAAAATAATCAAAGGAAGATTGTACAATATTAGATATGTCATGGGAAGTGATATTCATCAGTGTCTTTGGGACATTCCGGAAGATGGATATGCTGAGGTTTTCTGATCATGGTTACAAAGACTTGAGACATGTGTAAATGATAACAGGGAATGCTTTGAGGGATTATAAATGTTTAGAATATGTATTACGTACTTTTCTTACTTTTAGATGCCCTATGGCATTATTTATTGAACGACCCTCGTACCTCAAATTTCTCTGTTTCAGATAGATATGAAATGAATTCCTCTCTTTCAAACAATAAACTTTTTCATACCTATTACCAGAAGACATATATTATTATTGTATCAAACATTAGGGATTTTGAAGAGATTATTAACTTTTGTCTCTGATTTATATTTCAGATAAAGTACTAATTAATTAAGCAACGATTTTCTTTTTTTATAAAAAAAATATGCTTTTACTTAACTTTTTAGAAAAAATATTGAAGTTCACGAACAGTTATCAATCTAATAAATTCTATAGTTAGGATCAGGTACCTAAGAGGAGTACACATCCCCTTCTGATCAGTCGCACGCGCCGTGCGCGCTCCTTGTCATGATCGCGTAGACGGGAAAATCCGTAGGTAATATAATTCAGTGTGAAAATAACGCCCTAACAATTTATATGAAAGACGTCAGTCAACATTCGACCTAACGACTGATTGTATTTGTAATTAAAGTCATTATGATCACATGATCATAGAATTTGCGAATTTTTTTTCTTTAAACGTGGTTGTTGATCCCCTTGATTACATAATCAACTTATTTGTCAACGATAGGTTTCTTCTACTTGATCAATACATTGGGCTCACGGCGGGTGTGACCTCTCGACAGGGGATGCTTACTCCTAAGAATCTGATCCCACCTCTGGAATTTCCGGGGGTCAGTGATTTATCACAATGGAAAATTCACTGTGCCAGAAAAAAAACTTTATTTTGGACTTTAATTTTCAATTTCTAATTTTTGTCATATTTTATTTCTCTTACGATATTTTTCGAATCCAATTGTTTAATTGACCATTGACACTTTTTGGACTTTTGATCTGTTATAACAAAGAGACAGAGTGCTATGTCTCAAGAACTGCTAATCTCTTATAACAACATTGTGTAATTATCTGTTATTCATTTCCAAACATCAAAGAGTCATTATGTATATCCATACCCGAGAATCTTTTACTCATTTCACTTAATGGCAACACCTGTCATCTATTTACTCATTATGTACATTCTTATAAATAGTCATGTATAATTTCAATCTTTAGTCTGGAATATACGAAGGCCAGTCTCGGCCACGTCCGACTCGTCAGGACTCTGAGTCCGGGGCCACTTCGGCCAGATCCGACTCGATCATTTATAATATGTCTGTTTGTTGATTCATGTAAACTGTTGCCATCGTTGAGACTCATCTAATAAATACGGAATCCTTCATCATTTGTTTTATCTCTGGAATTGCATATTGGTGGACCTTCGGGAATACGGCACACCTATACTTTGTTTTACCTCACGGCCACACAGCGCCTCTACCTATACCTCGTACCCCCTTACGCCAACGTTCCCTCACCCCGTTCGTTCTGCAAACAACGGATGCTGTTCCAGACGAATTCCTAAGTACCGTCCAAATCTACACGGTCACAGATTTATGCCCTGTCCACGGATTTGTATTGCTTGTAGATTTTTTGAGATCGATCACTGTTTCGTTATCGTCACCTTTTTTATTGTATTTGCAAACAAGGTACATAAGTATAATCATAGAAATTGCGAAATGCTGCGTACTAAATCAGTTGGGTGACATAGACACCATATATATTCAACAATAGAAATACTATTATATAAATACATGTAAGAAAAAGTTGAAGATGGAAATACATGTAGGAAAAAGTTGAAGATGGAGAAGCTAAAGTCAACCCGTTTGCTATACATTTTAGTTGTTAATTTGCCATTAACATCTACGTATATCTACGTTAATTTGCTATTAACATCTCGTATATACACCAAAACATCTAGATATGAAACAGGTGTGGCAGACTCCGCAGTGTCTTTTATTCCGCTTTCATATATCGAGTTAACATGTGAATAAAAAGGAATATTGTTAATGTATATAATTAAATGTCGAATTAAAGACCATAGCACCTATGTACATGTAATTTTTTTTTGAAAACATTCTGCTTCATAAGAATACAAACCAGGTTTGGCTAATAAAGGATCACAGGGAGAGGGCTTAATAAGATTTTAGAACTTGTGCCCAATCCCTTTGTAATTAAAAACTACAATAAAATATGTTCAAACCAAAGGATCACAATTTTTGTCATGGGAATTTAAATATATTGTTGGAAGACCTAGATATTTGGCAACTGGTGATTTAATGTCAACTTGATAATTCTTATGTAGAGAATGATTTTAACAAAATAATTTTGTAAATGACTTATCACAAGATGTATAAATTTCTGAGTTCCATTTTTATTGAAGAAGCTGTTTTCTTTCTTGTGAGAAAGCCAGATCTATAATTTTTTCGTGAGGAATGATTGTATAAAGAAATTGAAATTTCATGTTTTTATGCCTCAATTTTAGGTCGGAAATTGTTTTTTTCAAATTTTTAAAAAGTTTTTGGAGGTTTTGAGAATCAATATTTACACCACATTTTGGACGTGTAGTAGGACAATACATCTTAAGTTTCTCTTTGATAGTAGTTAATATTTTTGTTAGAATAAAGATAGGGTTTTAAATACACTGAAACTTGGTGGAACATTTACTAAATCCTCAATGTAGATTTTGATGAAGTTTGAATCCAGCATTCAAATCCAGTCTTATTGTCTAGAATATTAAAAGCATAATTAAAACGTGATTTGACAAATTTCATTTTTTTTGAAAAGGAACTTTATGAAGTGGGTGATCGTTTTTTGTAGACAAAAATTCTTAATGCAATTTTGCTTCATTGTTAATTTGTGTGCGTGTGTTCTTTCAAATCACAGGTAACAATATTTGATTATTGGTACATCATGTTTCAAGACAGATTTTGTTATTCAAACCAATTTTAAAACAAAATAAAAAAAAAATATATTGTAATCAGATATTCACATTCATTTTAAATTGATCTTAAAATTATCGATAGAAAGAGAACAGGGAATGACTCCCTGTTAGAAGATAGGACTGGAGTGGGAGGGAGATGGTTTGTTCTTTTTAGACACCTGCAATTCCATTTACATAGGTCATGACACTTACATGACAACATGGAAATGAATTTCAGAATATTCTCAAAATCATTCAAGACGTTAATCAAAAAAATAAAATTGCTTGACACATTTCATATTTTTGTTTTCAAAAATGTCCAATCAAATCCCTACTTTTCCATATTTCGCTAGAAGATAAGATTCGAAGTACAAATATGGTAATAGACTTGACACTTTTTCTGCCCTGTAACGTTTATAGAAAATGATAATTCATTAAAATTGGTCCGACCTCATACGTCATGTGTGAAATGAAATGAAGTCTGTTTTGAATACATCACTGTAAAGCCGGAGGAACGCCCTTCAAAATTTGCGTGGCGGCACTGGTATATATATAAAAGTCTACTGCACAGCGAGTTCAGACAATTGTCAACATACATTAATTAACGTTAATCAGCGGTACGATTTCCATTAAAAGACATTTCTATTTTGTGCGGGGATAATTATAACATGGCGTACTACAAAATAACATGCATCGTCCTTGTGGTCATTTTCACCTTTTCTCAAACAGGTAAGCGACTTGTTTCTTATTCTATCTTAAACGATTTACTTGTACTTATTCTATCCTAAACAATTTACTTGTACAGATAAAACATATCATTGTAACTTTTCTTTCATGCATTCAGGGAAACTGCTATACACACTGAAGTGTAATTAATGTTTTGCCTGCAGCTAAATGTCTATTTGAATTAGCACAAATATGTCCACTATTGCCAACATCTAAATTAACTCAATTTAGACACACGTACATCAGATGATACAAACAAAAAGAAAAAAATATATATCACTGATTATGTCAAAATGATTTTATATTTTTAATGTAGTTGTTACATGTGATCATAATTAATATTTTCAGGTAAAACCTCACCACTTCGAAGAATAAGGAGCGATTATATATCACCTATGCAAAATTTCTTGTTGATGACCGATAAATACAGAGTTCATAACACAGAAGTTAAATCAGCCGATAACTCGACAACGGACCAGACAGGAAACCCCGAAATACCTGTTTCCGGAAATATTACTCTCCAAAGTCTCGAGGCGAACAACACGAAAAGTGATGACATCACAAATACCCAAGCAAAAAGTAGTTCCACAACAGCGCCATCTGCAGGTCTCTCTACAACTATCAATGCAAACCAGAGTTCTACTAATCTGAAAACAGATCAACTGTCTGGAGTTACGTCGTGATTTGTAGAGCAAATTTACAAAATTAATTAGAGTATGGGGAAATCTAAAGAATTCCGGAATACAAAGCACCCAAGTATCCTTTGAATTCTACTCCGGTACCAGTATAGGAGCAAAGGGGAATGGTGTCATGTTAAATTCCAAACTGAAGAACACGAAATCCATACATCATTGTATTTATCATTTACCCTCATTAGCTATGTTTGCTGGCGAACAATAACTAATGATTGATGTCAAGTTTGACAATGCAGCTTTTCTTTATTCTTTTTTTTATCATACATTTATATTCATACGATTTCATCATTAAATTATTTATTTCTTTTTTGTGTGTCTTGATGGTTTTTTTTTTTTTGTCATAAATTTTGAGAATTCATATGCTAGACATTTAAATTGAAATATTTAAAACAAACACTCATACCCAGCAATAGAATTGAACTTTGTGATCATTATGAAATTTCACCAATTTTCACACTGCACTGCATGAAAAAAAGTATGTTTGACCTTGAAGTAGTTCTCGGTCAAAATTAGGTCCCGATTTAAACTATTTAAAAAAAACTGAAAACAAAACGGGATATGAGATTTTCCGCATGTAACAGAAATTTAATCAGGATGTGAGCTATGCTGATTGTGTCAATTATTAAAAAAACAAGTTGAAAAGTATGCATAACTATGTGTTACTGTTAAATGCATCTTAAAAGTGTGTCATCCTACTCATTGATATCAGCATTCATATCAAGCCTTGTAGATTTTAAATCCATAGAACTGGTTAATGTTAATTAATTGGGGGAGGAGAAGGCATAAATAAAATGAAAATCTGATTAACCTTGTTGTCTAGCAGGGCATTATGATATGCCTGTGAAACAAGGCAGGTCAACCATCTTTGAATTCCATTGTCCAAAGAATTGTCAATTTTTTATAATCCATCATATTTTTATATTCCATATTTGTCTTGAAATAACTATGCACAGGGTAATTGTCTGTATGAGTAAACTATGGATAAATCTGTCCATCAAAGGTTAGAGTTGTTAACTTTGAGTTATCTCACCATAGCATCATTCTAGGGCTGTGGAAATATTTCAATCGAATGTAATGAAGAAGTCGAAGTATAGACGAAAAAGAATAGGGAAAGTTGACGCCGAACGAGGACAGGGAGCAAAAAATGAATGTCCAGCAGTACATCCATTTACACTGATCAGAAAAATGTCAATCTATGCATTCAAACAATTAAATAAGATAATTGAAATTGAAGGATTTTACATCCATAAAACATATAGGGATTAGGAGGGAAAAAACTTGCATGAATCTAATCATAAAAACATAAAGCCCATAACTTTATCAGTACTCAGTATAATTCAAAACAAATCGTTTAGTCCAGAAGTGCAATGTGTTTTTCTTTTCATTAAAAACAAGCCTACAAGAGGGAATAAATAAACTACATTATAAATTCGTGTACTTATAAACACAAGGCGTTAACTTTGTAACAAATTTTGACAGATTTAATCTTAATGTTTATGTATTAATTATCCAATATTTTGATCAAAGGTTAATAACATACAAACCCTCTCTCACGCTTCTGTCGATAAAGTCAACATGTTTAATGGTCTCTCTGAAGAGAGGCATTCGTGGCCATGTTCCGTGTAGGAGAAGAAATTACAATTACATGTATTAGTCATTCGTCATATTTACGTGACTAAAGGTAGGAATGCTAAAAAAAAATTCTTGATCTGTTTCTAATTGATCATAGTGTCATGTACTAATTGAATACCCAATCATATAAAATTAACTTGTAATTTCTTTGTTTGGTGACGCCCAGTAAGGACAAGGTCTGGTTAAGGCCAAGCTTGGCCCCCTATTTTGAAATATATGGAGATAAAGAGCAGTATTCAAGCTGAAAAGTCCATTTAACAATACAAATCATGGAGCAGAGCAAACACGGACCTCCAAACATCAGAGGTGGGCTCAGGTGCCATGGAGGAGTGAGCATCCCTGCCGACCGGTCACACACCCCGTGTGCTCCTTGTCATGATCGGGAAATAACGGGAAAATCCGTCGACAATTCAGTGTGTAAATAATGGCCTAACAATGAGTATGAAAAACGTCAGCGTCAGTAAAATATTACATTGTTTTGAATATGGGACAAAAAGGGCACTTAAACTACCCAACTAATAAAAAAACTAAAAAAAAAAAACTAAAAAAAAAAAAAAAACAAAAAAACAAAAAAACTAAAAAAAAAAAAAAAAGAAAAAGAAAGAAAAAAGAAAGAAACAACACACCTAAACAATCTTTAAAAACCAAAAACAAAGTAAAAACGACAAAGGAAAATGGAAAAAAGGATTTAGAGGTCAAAAACAAACGAGACAAAAATATTTCAAAGTTTAAGAAAAGAGAATTTGAAATGTTGGTTGTCTTGTCTTTTTTATTAGAATTTGCCTTTTCTGATACGCTAGGTATCCAGAATGAGAGTGTTACAAATTAAAAAAAAAAACTTATTAGATATTATTAGTCTTCACGTTTATAAATGTACAGTGTAATTGATTTTTTCTTCTTTTTTAAGCAATCTGATATTTTATATTTTGCCGTTTTCAACATCACTGAAGTATTTTTCTTGATGGATAAATACCGGTACATAAAGTTGCTGCATCGCTTTTTAAAAACTTCAATATCTAGAGGGTACAACAGTGTGTAAATTAGAAAAAAGGAATCTTCTTTGGTGCTTTTGGATAAATTGTCACTTTTTCTTTCTTCTTTAAAGCCCATTTTGTGTTTTTGTTGCTGCATCTACACAGCATTTGAGAAAAAGCTAAGATTAAAAAGTTCAAGTTTGATTCAGTCATTACTAATGAAGACGTAAATATAGTATAAACAAAAAATGTAGTATTTTCTGTGCATACTTTAGCTATGTGCATTCAAAAGATTATTGTTTGCAAGGGTGTTTAAAATGGATTTATTGGTTAGGTTCAACATCAGATTAAATTTATTCACCAAAATCAAAAATTACTACATGGGTACATTAACATTTATTGGTGCATGGATACATTAATAACATATATACATTTAATATATTCTGGTCAGAGGTACACATAAAAAACATAACAGAAAATGAATAAAATTAAAAAAAAAAAAAAAAAAAAAAAAAAAAAAAAGAGGAGGTGGAAGAGCTATATTAAGGAGGACAGACAGCATCATAAATTTTTAGGATAAACATACATAACTTTTTCAGGATTTTGTCATTTTGAGTTGATATTAATTCTAAAAATCTAATAGCATTCGGTCTGTGAGAATATTTATTGCCCAGATAAGAAGAAGGGCGAACAAGGCGAGCAAAAATAGTGCGAAAAACATGAAATCTCAGTTATAATAAAATTTTCTTTGATATTTCATCTAATATTAAAGTATACGTACTTATGTAAAATCTCCACAATTTGCAAAAATTTCACAAAGATTGAAATATTTGGCTATGAAATAGCATACACGCAATAAGGGGGGCAAAAAGGATCATTTTCTTATACTATGACACAATTTTTCGTTATGAGATGGTCTTTGCTCCATTTTTTTTTTCAAAATATATCCTCAAAGTTTGCGTGAAATATATGAAGATAACGAACAGTATTCAAGCTCAAAAGCCTATTCAAACAATATGTGTTTGTGAAACACTGATGTCACCGTATAGCAGCTTAAGGTTTAAGTTTCTTAAATGCATGTCAAACTCCAGGTCAAGAAATTAAAAATGTTGGTACCCAAAGAAGGTCTTGTCTCGAGGAATATACCTGTGAAATATGAAAGCCCTAGTACAAACCGTTGAAAAGTTATGGCGAAGATTAAAGTTTTTTTCAATGTGAGTAAAACGGCAAGGTCAAGGTCAAATGGTGCCAAGGGAAGTTCTTGTCACAAGTGTTACACATCATCGTGAAATGTGAAAGCCCTAGAACCAAACGTTCAAATGTTATGACCAATGTTAAATTTTTTTAAAAGTAAGTCAAACCTCAAGGTCAAGGTCAATGCCAAAACTGTTGAAATCCAAAGGAAGGTCTTGTCACAGGGAATATACATGTGAAGTATGAAAGCCATAACACCAACTGTTCAAAACTTATGGCCAAGGTTAAAGTTTTTCAAAAGTAGGTCAAACTTCAAGGTCAAAGGGTCAGGGTTGTTGGTATCTTAAGGAAGGTATGCATATGTGAAGTATGAAAGCCCTAACACCAACTGTTCAAAAATTATGACCAAGGTTAAAGTTTTTCAAAAGTAGGTAAAACTCCAAGGTCAAAGGGTCAAAGTTGTTGGTATCTAAAGAAAAGTCTTCTCACAAGGAATGCATATGTGAAGTATGAAAACCCTAGTACTAACTGTTCAAAAGTTATGGATGGCCAAGGTTATATTTTTCAAAATTGAAGTAGGTCAAACTCCAAGGTCAAGGTCAAAAGGTCAAAGCTGTTGGTATGTAAAGAAAGGTCTTGTCACAAGGAATACACATGCGAAGTATGAAAGACCTAGCTCAAATTGTTCAAAAGTTATGGCCAAGGTTAACGTTTTTTCAACAGTAGGTCCAACTCCAAGTTTAAGGTGAAAGGGTCAAAGATGTTGGTATCCAAAGGAAGGACTTGTCACAAGAAATACACATGTGAAGTTTAAAAGCCCAAGCTATAAGTTTTCAAAAGTTATGGCCAAGGTTAAAGTCTCAAAATTTTCTGCAAAAGTGGGTCAAACTCCAAGGTCAAGGTCAAAAGATCAAATATGATGGTATCCAAAGAAAGGTCTTGTCACAAGGAATACACATGTGAAATATGAAAGCCATAGCTCCAACCAATCAAAAGTTATGGGCAAGGTTAAAGTTTTTGCGGACAAGCAGACAGACAGACAGACGGATGGACAGGGCAAAAACTATATACCCTGAATCTTCGATTACGGGGGCTTAACAATACAAATCAAGAGCAGAGCAAACACGGACCTCTAAAACATCAGACGTGGGATCAGGTGCATGGAGGAGTGAGCATCTCCTGTCGACCAGTCACACTCGCCGTGTGCTCTTTATTAAATTTGTCATGATCGGAAAATAACGGAAGAATCCGTAGACAATTTATTGTGTAAATAATAGCATAACAAATAGTATGAAAGACGTCAATCAGTATTTGACTTAATGATAGATTGTTTTTGTCATTGTATTGACCATAGAACTTACGGAATAATGATTTTAAACAAGACTGTTGATATTATTTTGATATCATAAACAAATGAAGCAATTTTAATTTCAGACCTTGTTGTCAAATCGAGAAACTCTCTTAAATTATGTGGGTTTTTTTTCTACATGTGGGAGAAAATACAACAGC